TACGAGCAGTCGATAATAATAGATGGGTGGGTGGGTGGTAGGTGGGCACGGAGGTGGGTTAGGGTGGATGATGGGCTGATACAACTCAGGTTACCGGATACCGTACCGGTACGTATCAGTTCGTTAAGGTATCATTATCCGGGCGGGGCGGGCCACCCGGTCCGAGGATAAGTACCGTAGGTAGTAGTACCGGTAGGTAGTACAATTACAAGTACAAGTACCGGTAGTACCTTACCGGCTGCACCGTCTCTTTTTTCAATCTGTGCCGCATGAGACTAAGCCGTAGGTACGTAGTAGGTAGGTACCGGTAGGTAGTAACGTTATCAGTGATGTTAGTTAGTCTCTCTACTTTTAAGTACGTAGATACCGGTACGGTACCTAGTCATTGATTTGCGTAAAGGTAGGTAGGTACCTAGGTAGGTACTGTACTCGCATGGGAGCAGTCAACCAGCGTGGCAAGACCGACTACTAGCGCATGCATACTTACCGATATAGGTACGGTAGCGACGCAATTCTGTGTCGAAGTCACGGCAGTACCTACCTACCGGTGGTTACGTGGTGCCCGGCATTCGACGTTGACCGTTTAGATCGTTGTACTACGTACGTAGTATCTTGCACGGAGGCTTCCGTGCGTTCAGTGTCGTATACCTACCTACCTACCTACCTACTCTGTAAACCTACCAAAAAGTGGCTACGGGATGCGACGCACTGCTTGCTTGCTTGTACAGTAGTAGCAAGGGTTCGACTTGTCATTGGTGAAGATATGTATATTAATTATGGCTCCGGCGCAAGTTTCGATGTCCATGTACAGTACCGTACAGTACTTGGACCGCTGCGCAGTAAACGCACCGATCAATCAGGAAACAGAGACTACCGTATAGGTCGTAGGTACCTAGGTTACTCGCAAGCAGCCTTACCTAGGCGCCACTCTGTCGAGTCTACTGTATGCAGTACCGTACCGGTTAGGTACCCTTCTTTCCCTTCCCCTTTCCCTTTCCCTTTTGCTTTTGCTTCCAAAGAAACCTTCACAATCAGGCGCATAGCGTTTCATGCGAAGTTTCCCCTCCTTCTCCTCCTCCTCCTCCTCCTCCTCCTTCTCTCTACTTGCTACGTAGGTACTGTACGGATACCCCTCCGTAGACTGCTTTACCTACTCTGTACAGGAAGTGAGTGAGTGAGTGAGACAGTCAGTCCACGCCTCCACGGCAAGCCGTGCGCGCTGGAGACGGACCCAACGGCGAAACAGTAGCCCGGTCCAGCGAAAGAAAAAGGACGGACGACCAAGGGCGCACGCAGAAAGGCCAGCTTCGGGAAGCCTAAACGCTGCCCGCTCTCCGCCTGGCGTCGTTGCGTTCTGCTCCTGTAGCCGAGTGATGCATCCTTTTCTTTTTTTTTTTNTTTTTTCTTTTTTCTTTTTTTCTTTTCTCGCCTCTCTCTCTCTGCGTACCTTTGCTGGCTGCACCGCGCACGGCTTGCGAAGGACCTGTTTACGCCCGTCGACGGTGCGGTAGAGCAGGTACGGTAGGTATACTTACGGTACAGATCAATTGCGTAACGCGATCAGACGCGGCTGCCTTTCCAGCTCTGGAATCGACAGGGAAGGAAAGAACGTGTTGGAGATGAGGATTACGGTAGGTACCCGATAGAGGGGTACCGGTAAGTACCTAGGAGATGGAGAGCGCGGGAGCGGAAAGGCGGTGAGGCGCGGGGAGCAGGAAAAAGAAAGGAGAACTTTGATAAGGCTTGGAATGATCTTGTAAACGGCGATTCGATCGATTACCTACGGTAGAACGGTCTTAGACTAACTAGTAATGATCTTGTAACGAAAAGATGAGCTCTGGGTATGCATGAGAAAATGATTTAATCGATTTAACTGGTTTCGTTTCAGCTACGGTTTACATGATTTCACTCGTTCGCTCTCGGATTCTATGCAACCTCAGGCAGGTATCGATCGGCCTAGGGTGATTGATCCACTAGGTAGCGATTTGAATCTCTTGTTCCCGTCTCTTGAAGAGATCGTTGGTATTAGATAGATGATCAGCTGACTCTCCACAAGCTCGGCCATCGATTCTGCTACCTCCCTATGGCAAGGCGGTGTGGGTGACATACCGTATAAACGAGCGAGAGCGGGTTTGGGTCTGTCTAATCCTTGCGGCAAGCCTCTCTCTCTCGGCAGAATAATTCTACTGTAACGCCAGTTCATCATCCCCAAAGACGTACCTGTCTGTCTGTTCCTCTCCCTCACCCACCCACCCACTCACTCACTCACTCACGTGAATCAATCAGTTCCTCCGCACTTCGCAATCACATACGGTAGGGACGAAGTATCCCAACCGGACGCCCAGCGGATCCAAGCTGAGCGAGCGCAACGTGCCACAAAAGCATACCGTACTGTACGTACCGGTACCGTAGTACGTACGTAGGTACCTTAGGCCCACCCATCCACTCACCCACCCACCCACCCGGCAGCAGGCCAAGTCCGTACGGAGAGTTTTCTGGAAGAAGAGATCTAGGCCTTATATGTGCGATGTGCAACAAAAAAGACTGCTCGCTCTCGTTCTCGCTCTCGTTCTCGCTGAGCTGAGCTGAGCTGAGCTGAGCCATCCAGCGATCCATCCAGCCAGCCAGCGGGTCAGCCAGCGGGTCAGTCCTATAAAAAGAAATAAGGAGAAGAAAAAAGCAGAAGAAATAGAAATAGAAGAAGAAATAGAAATAGAAATAGACAAGAAAACGAAAAAAANAAAAAAAAAAAAAAAAAAAAAACCTAGACTGCGTACCGAGAATCAATAGATACTAGAGGCGTGTCGTATCGTAGAGAAGTCTGGTCTGGTCTGCCTGCATACCTACACAGATACATTGTTGTCGAGATGGATAGAAAGATGATATGTACGGTATAGGTATATATAGGTACCTATAGGTATATATAGGTATATGCAAACTAGATATAGATAGAGATACCCGCCCTCTACCCTGCCGTACCCTACCGTACCGTACCTAGGTATGCTCATCACGAGATTCCCAACGGGGAGCAAAGAAGAAAAAAAAGGAAAAAAAAAAAAAAAAAAAAAAAAAAATTAAAAGCAAATGAATAAATAAATAAATAAGCAAATGAATGAATGAGTGCTCCTCGCAGCCCAGGTGCGAGAAAGGTAGAGGAGTGCGGCCGACAAGAGGAGGGAGGGAGGCAAGAGAGGACAGGTAGGTAGGTAGGTACCTAGGTAAGGTACCTTAGGTTCTAGGCCCTGGTGCGACGTGCAACAAGGCTCCATTTTCACAAAAAAGAAAAAAAGGTCTGGACCCAGCTTGCGAAATGCAACAAAAGGGGGGAAAAGAGAGGGGCAGAGAAAAACCCACCAGGCCAACGTGCTATATCCGGTTGATCACGTACCTACCTTAGGTACTGAGTATCGCGATCGATAGTCAGGTCAGTCAATCAAGGAGATGAGGGCGGCCTCTTTCCAACCTCTTGATCTGGCGAGTTAAGAATTGGAACGATATGATGGTGAAGGAAGGAGGGGCACACTCCACACAAGGCAATATACAGTCGTACTGAAGCCGTGAGAGCGAGGAAACATCGATAACGGCACCATCACACGCAAGACAGACATCACCCACCTCAAGAGACACGCGAGTATTGGATTGGAGAGCATGATTCAAATGTGTTCCGCGCAAATTATGCTCACTGATAACGCCATGCTTAAACCGATACGAGCAACCATTAAGACAACATTGACTGGCCACCCACTCTAGCCCTCACTACTCCGAGAAGTCGAATCTATCTGGCAGGACTATGGGCGCTACCAAAGTCCACGTATAAATCACGTAGCAAACCCATGCGCTGACAATCTTGACCCAACTAGCCCAGTATGTTCGTCCCACGGGCGCAAAATCGATGCCATCTTTCGTCGACTCTTCCATGTTCATCGTGAGCAGTGTGGCGACCCAGGTGGTGGCGAGGAAGAAGATAACATGAAAGAGGGTATAGTTGTACTGTGTGGAGTTGCGTTCGTCGTCCTTGGGACTATCGGCTCCGTTGTCGCTGTCGTCGTCGTCATCAAGGAGGGCATCTGCTGGAAGACTTCCCTCCTCGACTGCTTGGCGCAATGCTGCCGCGCGCATTTCACGACGGCTGTCCGGCTGTTGGGTGACCAAGTTGTGCTCATCTTCATCTGGTAGTCTGATACTCTTTCCCTTGCCTCCGAGGGCGACTCCTTGTGTAGCAGCCCGGGTGGTTGTGTATGCGACAGTCAACATCGTGACAACCGCACCAATAACGATCGAGGTCGTTCGTGTTCCTCGGGTACCAGCTCGGATGAGGGGGTTACAGTGCTTATCATCTGGCTCCATGGAGACAGCGGACATCGTAAGGTATGTGCAATAGACCGCGACCATGGCGGACTGAGCGAGACCAGCCTTGGGATTGTATTCCTGGACCGCGGGGTGAACGGAGACGGCCGAAACGACGAGAAGAAAAATCAAGTTGAGGGTGATGGCGGTTTGGTTCATGGAGCAGCCGCCGGCTGCAAAGAAGATGTACTGGATAATGGTCATGGCGATGGAGGCCGCATACATCCCGAGCGTCGATCCAATGAGAATTCCCCTCCAAGCCTGGGAGTCTTTTGCCTCTATCTGTTCCAAGCAGTATTCGGCCCAAGAGTGTGCGAGATCGACCAGCAGAATGAGGCCGAGAAGTAGAAAGGCCGTAGCTCCTGCGAAGGAGATGTAGTTGCCCCATACAAAGAAGAAGGAGTCGGGTACGAGGAACGAGACCACAATCAGGGCGAGCCAGGCAATAATCTTGGGACCCCAAAAGCCGTTCTGTATCGCTGCGCGAGGATTCTTGGAAGAGTTCACGCCCAGTAGGATAAAACCCATTATCATATGAAAGATTCCCAGAGCGAAGTTGATTCGGTGGACGGCAACCCAGCCGTAACAAGGACCGTTCGGACAGACGATCTCCATGTAATCCAACGTCAAATTTTGGAGTTTGTTGATCGCCCATGGCGTCAGCATTATCCATGATAGGATCGAGTTTATTAGGAGGAGGAGGGCGTATGCGATTCGGGTGGCAACGCTACGATATATTGGATTAGAATGCGAGCTGCCTTCGAGAGAGCTAGACTGACCTGTTGCCGCATTTCCCACATGCGCTACAGACTGCAGAGCATGTAGCTGCACCGCAACAGCTTGCCATGAATCCTACCACCTGTTGATAATCAGTGTCTGCATGTCTGCATGTCTCCATGTCTGCAGGACCTGGGAGCCTTGACGTACCGTTCCCAAGCTGGGTACTGCCAGCAGTGGAATAGAGAGTAGAGCACCCATAATGCTAGCTGGCGTAGAGATGCGTCTTGCTCGATATCCAGTCAGTGATGAATGCGATGCGATGCGATGCGATGCGATGCGATTCAAGTCGATTCAACGCGATAGGAGGGTGGAATGAAGATGCGAGATGGAAACCGAGAGATGTCGAGGTGAACGACGAGATCAACAACAAAGTGAGACAGAGAGAGAGCCGCATGAGTCCGTAGTGGCGGCGGGTAGACTACGGCGATTATTTTACGGAGTATCATATTGCCGGATTCCGATCGGCGGCGGGGCAGGGGTGGTGATACAGTTCCGTAAGTATGGAACTCTCCGTCCGTAACGGAGATGGCGCATCGGTCATGGTCGGATACTGTCGTGTTGCGCACTGTTGCGTCGTGTCAGCCCCAATGCCTACTAATCTATGATTTCAAAGGCCATCGCTATCATCCCGCCCAATTGATCTACCATCACCATGATCACCCTCTGCTGACCCTTTTTACTCCTCTTCTCTTCTCTTCGCAATGCTATGATAGCATCTAGAAAACAGAACACGACAAAACACCAGCCTCGATACAGTACAGATAAACAAACAGACAGATACAGACAGATACGCTGTGCGACCATGTCCGACAAGCAATTCCATAGAGCGAAGATCATCTCGAGTATTGCTGCGACAGCAATCTCGCTGGCATGTGGCTCTAATGTAAACAGAAATCCTCTCTACCCATTCCAAAGCGGTAACTAACTCAATAACACCAGTACGTCTATTCGGCATGGGGGCCTCAATTCGCTGAGAAGCTGAAGCTCTCCTCGACGGAGCAGAATCTGATAGTACCATTATGATCCCTCCCGCAGCTGCAGAACATCTGCTAACGCTGGCCAGGGGCTCTCTGGTAACCTGGGCATGTATTCGACGGGCATACCAGTTGGAATACTGGTCGACACGAAGGGACCGCGGCCGGCCGTGGTGATCGGGGCTATCTTTCTGGGCTTGGGGTACTTTCCTCTACACCAAGCATACGATAGGGGATCAGGATCTCTACCACTACTGTGCATATACTCATTCTTGACGGGTTTCGGGGGATGTGCTGCGTTCGCAGCGGCTATCAAAACATCCGCCTTGAACTGGCCTCATCACCGAGGGACTGCTACTGCATTCCCCCTCGCCGCCTTTGGGCTCAGCGCATTCTTCTTCTCGATGTTTGCGCAATTCGTGATACCCGGATCTACGGGCGATTTTTTGAAGCTCCTCGCATACGGCACGTGTGGAATCGTAACCATTGGATTCTTCTTCCTCCGAGTCTTGCCTCACCCCCACTATACAGCAATTCCGGTTGGCCCTGGGAGATCCGAATCGAATAGACTGCAGAGATCAAAGTCAGAGGAGGCTAAGCATCGGCTTCAATCGTCACGAGATGAACCAGGTAGGCCAGCTCTTAGCCCTCGTCATTCGCGCATCTTAGGACTGCATGCCCTTAACCATTATCACGTAGGAGTCGAGGTAGCCGAAGGAGTCAATACCGATACGGAAACCTCCTCTCTGATGTCCAAAATTTCCTCGAGCCCTGGGGATGAACCCGAACAAAACATTATGAAGAACCACGCTTATCGTGTAGATATCCGAGGATTCAGGATGCTTCCGATGATCGAATTTTGGCAACTATTTATTCTCATGGGTATCTTGACCGGCGTTGGCTTGATGACCATCAAGTGAGTTTAGCCTGTGAGCTGAGCGAGCCCTGTTGCTAATGTCTGGTAGCAATATCGGCAACGATACGAAAGCCTTGTGGATCCATTTCGACGACTCCGTCACCGATGATTTTGTAAACAAGCGTCAGGCCATGCACGTATCAATCCTGTCCGTATGCAGTTTCGTCGGACGACTCATGAGTGGTAAGTCCTTTCATCGCAATCTTAGCTATGATGCTGAAATGACTAGGTGTCGGATCCGACTTTCTCGTCAAAATTCTCAGAGTCTCTCGTTGGTGGTGCCTCACCATCGCTGCCTTGGTCTTCCTCGCCGCTCAAGCCATAGCCCTCTCTGTCGAGAATCCTCACCATCTGATTTTGGTCTCCAGTCTCACAGGTATCGCCTACGGTTTCCTTTTCGGATGCTTCCCATCACTTGTTGCTGACGCTTTTGGTGTTTATGGCTTGAGCACCAACTGGGGCTGTATGACTCTGAGTCCAGTCATCAGCGGCAACATCTTCAACTTGTTCTATGGAGCGGTATATGACAAGCACAGTATCCTTAAATCAAACGGAGAGCGTGAGTGTACTGAAGGCTTGGCATGTTACCGAAGCGCATACGTCGTCACAATCTTCTCTTGTTTAGCGGGGCTAGCACTGAGTTTGTGGAGTATTTGGCACAGCAATCAGAAGCGCGAGAAAGAGGAGAAAGAATATGGAGAGAGAGACGCCTGATCTGGAAAAGGCGGCGCAATCACCAATCAGTAGACAGGCACTGGGTAGATCACGCACACGGTGAGCGGTACAGATATGGGGCGGAGTTTCTCTAGAGGCACGATTTTCTTTTTTGGGGTGTGAGTTAGCTAGGAGCGTTTCAATATACCATAATTCATTTTCCCTGTATTTTGTACTGTCATCTATCCGTCCTGTTGCTCTTTCTTGCATGCGTTATCAACCTGGGGACCTGGACAAGGGCTAGCGTATCTACCCTATCTCCAGGTGCAGTCGCCATTCCGAAGGCGAGTTGCTTCGAATCCTGTGACCAGCCTAAAAGTTTTCTTCGTCCCCTTTTTCTATATTGCTCAATACGTTCCTCAGTAAAAAAAAGAAGAAAAAAAGAAAAGGCCATGAAATTTCAAACATGTTAATACTCCATGTTTGTTTGACACTCTGTGGTTCATTCCCTAAAGCCAGAAAGTACAACGCTACAGAATAAGTATTTTCAACCCCAGGCCAGGCGAGAGAGGCAAACCAGACCAAACCAACCTCCATCTCATTTGCTAGCTAGCTCGTACACCTCTTCCTCTTCCAATACCCTTACCCTTATCCTTACCCGCTCGCACATCTTTACGGAATTCTTCTCGCATTTCCAGCCTCCAGAGTGCATGCCTTAATCGTCACCCCTTTCAGGCTTTGAACTCCCACCAACCTCTTCAACTCCTCATCATACGATAAGAGGCTCTGGCCGCCTCCAATCGTATCGTAGGCACCACCATCCCCGGCCCCATTTTCGGGTCCGTATCGCCCATCCAGCCACTGGTTTTTGCTTTGAGAGGATATGCAGTCTGGTTGATGGTGCACATAAAAGGCGAGTGGAGCTGACAGGACGCGATTACAAGTATATCTATCGGTAAGCCAAGAACAGTTGATTTCATGAATTCGTTGAGGCCGCCTCCAGGTTCACGGGACTCGATGGCCGTGAATGAATAGGCTGATGGAGAGCTGAGAAAATCCATGCCCAGCAGCTGAAAAAGCAGAATCGTAGCATGTTGGCAAGCCGAGAGTGACTTCTACGGGAGCGAAAATCTCACTCCCAGTCCTTCTCCATCCTCCATTCATCCCCTTTCTTCCTTCCCACGTCAACCAAGTTACACTCTCTGTGTCCCCACTTCTCGGCGTAAACATTCCTCCCTACATCTTGCATCAGCTCTATCCCTCTTTGAAAACCATCCGGGTCCCGATAATACGGCTCTTGCTGGCCTCCGTGCTGTCGGACCTGCCAGTAGAGCCGTCCACCACCGCCAAAATGAGCCTTGTGCTTCTCCATTTTCTGCACAATGATCCGAAGCTTTGCGAACGTGGGTGAGTTCGCTGTATCCGAAACCCAGTTTTGCGCGGTCTCTTTGTCGCGGGCACGTAGTACTGGACTTGCAGCCGCTTTGGTAGCGGCCATCAATCTACTTGCCTCTTCGACTGCGGCTTGCTTTTCCTTCTCGGCCTCTTGCTCTTCCTCTTCGGCCTGCCCTTTAAACACAAAGCTCGGTTCGACCCCAGCCGTTCGGTATAGGTATATCAAATCATCCATGCTGTCGGCCACATCGAATACCCTACCAGCCTGAACGTCCCCATCGCCCAACTCATACCCATACATCTTCAACCTCTCATGCATATCGCAATCAGTATTGTAGTAAGGAATAGCAGCATCCCAACCGCCCACTGCTTCAAAGGCAGCAGTATTAACAAGCGCAAGCCGATCGTAGGAGAAGAATCGGAGGGCCCACGTCTTCGAGGGGTCTGTAGAGTGGATATCGTGCCCTGATGTAGCATTTCGCAAACCCTCAACTGCCAACACATACAAGGACTTGTATCCAGAGTTCTCCCCCTCGTGTGAAGTCGAATAGTTCTCCTCGAACGGCAGTACCACAACGTCCATATGTCCCCAGAAATAGCTAGCCCACTTCCTCTCGATGGCAGTATACAAGAAGAAGTTCTGCATCTGAGCGAAGGTAAACAAGGTCGGTGTCGGGACCACATTGACTCCCAACATGCCCAGCCTGGTATAGTTCAAGAAGAAGGGGTTCTGGAGCCCTAGCAGCCCCCTCTGATTCGACTGCATGGTCCCGGTGTTCTCGACCACATAAATGTCCTCCGGCGGCCACCCAGCCGTGATATAAGAAACGACCGTCTGTTGAAGCAATAGCCAATTCCTCGTAAATCCTATAAAGAGCGGCGTGTTCTCGGCGACATGGGGATTTGGCGGGGTGTTCCATGGCGGGATTGGCGGCAGGTCTGCCGCAGAGTGCGCGGCAGCGGCGACGGGGAAGTTGTCGACGACTGGAGGCTGATCGTATACCCGTTCGGGTTTATGTCTATACTTCGCTGTTGAAGGGCCACCGGGTGGTGGTGGTGTCGGCGGAAGGGTAGGCGTTCCGAGCTCGAGAGAAATAGGGGCAAGGGAGACGCTCAAGCCACTGCGGTGGGTGAAGGTCACAAATAACAGGAAGAAAAGGGCGAGGCCAGCAACGATCGCAGACCGCGGGCGCAGGACCGCCATTGTCGTGATGCAACGGAGTGGCGATTGGAAAGGTCGAGATTTCGAGAGAAATATTTCAAAAAATCAAGGAAGGGACGGACTGGCCCGGCCGATTCCACTCAGTAGTACGACCTCGACTCGAATATGTGAGTACGTATTAAGAGCATCGACTGGAGAAGCAAACAAAAATGAAAAAGCTTGCATTATGAGAGAAAGGAGAAGAGGTAAAAAATAGACGGAAAAAAAGCAATAACGCTAGAACGCGGCCAACGAAGGGAGAAAGTGGCTAGCAGCTAGCTTGCTTTGCAGAGGTCAGACCCTGGGGTCCTCTTCTGTCAGATCACCCGGAAAACACCAGATATTCCAGATGTGCGATATGAATTCCTCGGTGTGCATGTCACGGACAGATATTATCGCAGATTTTTGCTAAAATCTCGAAATGAAGTTTTAATTGGGCTGCACAACTTGTTAGTCGAGGCTATATCGAGTTGATGTAGCTAGCATATGGTAGGTACAGCAAGGATACTACGACAAAAGGCCGCATATGAGACCACAATGCTATGTGTTAACCCAGCCAGGAGACAGCAGTACAGCGAGTATTACATCGAGGAATGCGAAGGCGAAAAGGGGCGTGGGTGTGGAGATCGAGGTCGAGGCAGAAGTGAAGAGCTTGATGGATTCGTTGCAGAGAAAAATCGACTCGAGAAGGAAGCAGCAAGGACTCTGAAGTCGTAAAAGGTACAAAATATTCTATTCTTCAGAAAGATTCTCTCTATCGTCGTGCTATGCATTCTCAGTTTGGTGATTACTTGGCTGCCCTACTTTACTGAGCCAATTTAAGCGAAGTCAACATCCATCAGATTGTCCGAGCAGGTGCAATCGCCCGCTCTAAAATCTAGCAACCTTGGCTGTATCTAGTTTCTATTATATATCAAACATCATCCAGATTCAAAAGCCTAGAAACTTCTCCCCTTATCATAATCTGTCCCATTCTTCAAGCCCATCCCATTCCTCACCCGATCCTCTGCCTCCACAACCCTTTTCGGCAACATATACCCAATGCCGAAGAACACAAACAGCGCCCACTTCCACCTGAAGGGGTTGAAGACAATGCAAAACGCAAACCACCAGATCAACTCCAGGTACGTGAAGAAATCAAAAGCGCCAGTCGGAGCAAACGTCTTCAGCATGCGCGTCATATCGATCCATCGCTCCATCCAGTACGACTTCGGACGAGTCAAAGGATCGGAGAGGAACATAAGGAGGATACGCGTGTAGATGCCAATGTGCCAGTTTCCGACCGAGCCGATCGCATTGATATACGTGCAGTTGATGGCCGAGACGGAGACGTGCTCTGGCGGGAAGGTCTGGAGGTACCAATTCGGTGGGTTGTAGGGCTCGACGAAAGAGTCATCGGGGAGGAACTTGAGGCTGGGTCTCTCGAAGCCAGTGGCCATTACCACTATATCCGCTGGGATGACTCTCTCCCGTCCGGGGCCGTTGGCGGGGACGCCTTTACCGCGGTGGTTGAACTTGATGCCGCCTTCCGTGAAACCAAGGATGTCACCTCGAAGCCACTCTGCTTCGCCTGATCGGATCTTATCCATGACATCCGAGTTGACCATCGGTGTACCGGTGTAAAGACCATGGTCGGTTGGAGCAAGGTCCTCGAGGTCGCGGTAAAAGAATTTCTTGAGCAAGAGCTCCGGGATCCAGGAGAGGACCGTCTCACCACCAAAAATGTTAAGCGACAACAACACGTTAATAACTGCATGTCGGGGGATGATCCACTTGTCGCTCCTCGCTAAGATGAACACCTTACCCGCCTCCTCGTGAGCTGCAAACTCCAATGCTTCGACAGCACTTGCACCGCCGCCAATAATCACCATTTTCTTTCCCTTGACTTCCTTGCCCGTCAAGTCGCTCGAGTGGCAGATTTCTCCCATGAACCTGCTCTTTCCAGGCATTTGCGGCATTTTTTTGTCCCCACAAGTTCCGACGGCAGCGATGATGCCATCGAAGCGTCCAAGGGAGGTGTCGTTGACGACCCATTGCCCTTGCTTGTCTTTATATACCTTCTCGACTTTCGTATCGAATCTCGTCTTGGATTCGAGGCCATAGCGTTTCCACAGCTCCGTAATCTGGGAGACGATCTGCTGGCGATTGGGGTACCCACCTTGCCAACGGATGGAAGGGTGGAAGCGGTACATAACGCTGTGGATTTGGAGGCCAGATGTATTGTTTACTCGCTGTGCAACAAAGGTCAGCCATCTCCCAGTCCCAGTCCGCTCAGCTCAACAAGGGATAGCTCTCAGTCAAAGAAACTATGTTGACATGGAAGGAGGGTCCAAAATACTCACACTCCAAATACCGCCCAGTTGTGTCCTAGGTCCAGCTTCAAATATCTGCACATCAAATCCATGTCCGACACAATGACTTGCGGCAGCCACTCCTGTCAGGCCCGCCCCAATAATCGCAATTTTGGGCCTACCAAGATCTGCTCCCGGGCCTGGTGCTTCCGGAGACAAGAGCTTGTCCAGGAACCATTGTATCAATTGATAGAATAAAATGAAGGGGTGGAATATTAGGCTCTCCATTGTAAACAACCCAAGCGAGGAATAAATTGGTAAAGAAGATTTTGGGAAGGATAAAGAAGAGCTGGACGGGAGCTGAGCGGGAGCTTTGAGGTTCTGTTCGAATTTTGTTCGAGGTCTAAGAGAAACAACCCTTCGGAAGCTATGACGTAGGATTGGAGCTTTCATTTGCACGTGAAAATCTGGAACGGATTGGATTCGCGGCTCATATCGCAAAATTTGGGAGGATATGTGAAACTGTGTATGTAAATTCAGTTGCGTACGTCCAATTGAAGAAACCTCAAAAGACCGCATCCTCCCCCCCTTTTTTTTTCTTGGCGCACCCAGAATTCTACTACGAATGTACCGCCAAGCTGGCATAGGGCAGCTTTTAGGACTTCATAATCTATGAGGGCAGATAAATGGCAGGGCTCGCGGATCATTCATTGGTAAGGCTAGATCGATTCTCCCTCAGATTGGTGGCACAAGAGCCTCTGGGTTGTTGCTCTACCAAGCTAAGCGAGCTGTTTAGCGAGACAAACTACGCGAACAAAACAGATCCTGAATCGACATAGTCAACGCGTCTTCTAAGGGCTTTGAGTACGAGTCACTGCAAGACATAGGACCCAGCGTGACCCTTCAGAGTTCTGTCGACACACGAGCGATACGGCTCATATCCCGCGGGAACTTTGAAAACTCCCATGAAAAGACTGCAACCGGCAATTGACGTCAAAACAATCAGAATGATGTAGTAATGTTTGTACTCGCGCAAGTGTTAAAGTTGTCTGGAGCGTGAATATCACGCACTCTCTGTTCTATTCTCTCTAATCCTTTCACCAGTCATTTTCACCTCTATATTCTTCAGTACTGGCGCCCTTGAGTTAGCGCTGGCGCATTGTTACACCCTGTGAGCGTGACTGCCATGCGCTCTCTATCGATTTTTCCTGTCCACTCTCCACTGGAACCTTTAAAATGAACCATTCTCTTGTAACGGATTGCACCAAGAGTGGAAACTGTTCCAATCATGTGAGCCCAGAGCGTGCATGGAGCAAGCTTTGATATTACTGTCATCAGATTGTGTATCGATTTCGTATGTCAAAGGTTTAGATTAATATTCTTAGACCACTGGCTTCGCCCCAAGGTCTTGCATTGTGTATTTTACGCTCTTGATGGACATTAATAACATTCGTGACTTCGAGAATGGAAATTTTGTTCATAACGAACGGATGTATCGTTTCGTGACTTCTTAAAAACATAATTGGAAAGATATTCTATGATGCAGAGCAGTCTCAGAATAAAAGCAATCAGCAAGAGACAACAGCTACTTAACTTTCATAATCTCGGTCGAGCAGAAAACTATCGGAGTCTAAATTTTCTGAGTAGCTTGAATGTAAGCTCCTGGGAACAGTCGCCCATTTGTGACTTTTCTACAGTTCGTCAGGAATCAAGAATGATAAGTCCTGGGTTAGATTTCATCAAACTCAAATAGTTTTCACCCGGTGCAGAGAAGCCGAACTGTTAAATTTCAGAAACTAATATCTCTGCTGATAGCTCAAGAAACGAAAGTTTTCCAATAGCATTGTATTGAACCTCCAACGTTCCCACTAATGAAGGTGCGACGTATGTACAGTATATCAATGTCCATGCCTTCTCTGAGCATAATATTTGAGCACTGAATGGGCCTGGATATCTGGACCACGAACGTAGTATCTTGGTCTACGAATAGCATAGTTGGGTTTTGGTCCGCAAGAGTTCAATCGAAGGGGGTACTTAACTTGGTGAAGAAAGAATTCTGAAATTTAGGGGCCCAAGAAAAAACAATCGCGATCAGTTACCAGGTAAATACCTAAACGATGAGCAGAGAAGAAAGATTACGATCATTAAGTATGAAAAGAATCCGCTTTTACGTATGTAAAGTCAAAATTTGATTGCAGAAATGGGAATAATACTAACAAGAAAAGTCGACTATTTCTTTCATTTATGATAGAATGGAAAGTGAAGCGCAGAAAGAAGGGGGGTTAAATCTTGGCTGCGAATGTGTAAAGAGAAGGGAACCAAAACAAAACTTTCATATTGTGTAAATCGGTGATCATGACTCGCTTTTTTGAAATACTATACGATATTGGCCTCGAGTGCTTGAAGCTATTATTCCCGGCCAAGAAGCTTGATGTTGGACTATTCCGGCTTTGAAGAAGAAGTTGAGGTTTTCCCTACTAAGAAATCGAACAAATCACTCTCCAAACATGAGTTCGACCACCATGGACTTAAGAGACCAACTCAAGAGTCCGCAATGGGCAGGGAGACGGTATGAGCGAATATATTCAACCATTAGCAGCTACCTCCGCCCTCTATCCCGCCTGACATTATCCAAAATCTTCATCTTCTTCTGTAGATGTTGTCCCACCCCCTCCCCACTACTCTTGGTCCCATCTGTAGCAGGTCTCTTCCTACTCTTCTCAACCGCGCCGCCCGCCCCCGACTTCCTCGTAGTCAACCTCTCGATGCGATCGATGCCCTCGCCCAAGCCCCTCCACTCCTCCCCACCATAGCCCGCATCTTTCCTTGGCTTTTTTGCGCGATCCTTCTTACTCTCCTTCGGCAGACGCACATAATTCCTTTCTTCATATTCCTTTCTCTCGCGCTCATCCATCTTCTCCTTCTCGCTCTTGCTTCTGCGTCCTCCACTCACAATCGTGGAACCGATGCTGGGCTCTGCCATTGGAGCTGCAGAGAGTTCAGTGCTAACGAATTCGTCCAGGGTCGCAGACTTATTGGGTTTCTTCGCTTCCTTCTCACGGGGGGCAGAGGTAGTAGGCATGGCTGTTGCTTGAATACGGGGGGGCTTGTAGACACCATCGTGAGAATTGCGCTTATAGTTCGCCTCTACGGCTGCTGGACGCACGAAAGAGGTCGGGTTGGGTCTGTATTGCAGGTCGTCGATTTCGCCGCTGTTCAGCGCAACACCGTCTGAAGACTCCGCATCACTATCTTTCTCAGAGTCGTCGTTGTCGTGAGCAGGCTTGCTATGTTTCTGTGTAGCAGCCATTTCGTCTGTCCGCTTCGCATCATCTGCTGCGCGAAGCACTTTGTCGATTTGGTACTTGAGCTTGCTCTCCAGCGGCCGTACACCTTTCTCTAAGTAGACTTGCAGCTCTACCAGCTTTTTGGTGACGGAATTACTGAGATATTCACCATCGTCGTCGTCGTCGCTGCCAGATCTGCGGTTGCGCAGCTTGAGGAGTATGAGAAAGGCGAGGTTCTGGAGGTAGGAGAGGAAGAGCTCATTCTTCACATCCAGCAGAGAGATGCCATCTTTTGGAGGAATTGGTGCTTTGAGATTTTGCGAAGATTCGGATGCGGAACTTAATGCTTGCTGCAGAGTATCCAGCAATGCCACAAATGTTGACTTGGTGGCCATCTTGAGGTTGGTCCAGTAAAGAAGTTCTAGTTGACAAGGTCTGGGGAAGAATTTGGTGCACATCGGACAAAAATTGATCGACGTACCGGTACCAAGGGATCAGCGGGAAAAATATTTCACCGAGTCCGGTGAGAAAGAGCCAGCTATCAAATAAGTAGGTCCCTCCTTAACCTCTTATACTTCCACAACATCACACCTTATTTCGACATTGACTGTTGACCATCGCCGGGCCGGCAGACGATTCCATTTGGAAATAGAGAGAAAGTTTAAGCTTCCAGATATTTATTACAAAACAACTTTGCGCAGGAATCTCTGCAGCTTCGACCCGTAAGCCTTATCCCCTCCAGTTCATGGCTACCAGAACTCACCGACAAAGGACATCTACGTGTTGTTCTTCAGATCACAGCAATTGATATATCTCTGCAGTCACTATTCGAAATGCGTTTGAGAGGCTTTTCGCCGTCCGCGGCGCTTCTTGCAACCCTCCTCGTTGGCCCCGATCTGTCCTCGGCCTTCTACCTTCCTGGTGTTGCGCCAACCACATACAAAGAAGGAGACATTGTTCCTTTGAATGTCAATAGCCTCAAACCCGTAGGATCGGGTCAAGATGGTCAATTACGATCCGTTGTATCCTTCAATTACTATCATCCAGCCTTCAAGTTCTGTAGGCCGCAGCAAGGCGGACCGCAAGAAGTGTCGGAAAGCTTGGGCAGTATCCTTTTCGGAGACCGGATCATGACCTCGCCCTTCGAGCTCAAGATGGGCACGAATGAGACGTGCAAAACGCTGTGCGCGGCAACGTATGATCGGAGCTCGGCTCGTTTCGTCAATAGAAGGATAGCACAGGGATACGCGCTGAACTGGCTGGTGGATGGACTGCCTGCTGGACAGATGATTGAGGACGAGGTTACGAACACGAAATTCTACAGCCAGGGTTTCTCGCTGGGTGGTCTAGAAGAGAACGATTTGGCACTGAATAACCACTACGATATCCTCATCGACTATCATGAGACGTCCGCCGGGCAATATCGTGTTGTGGGAGTCATAGTACAGCCAGATTCGCGGAAGGCATCATCGGATGAAAAGCAAGGTTCCACTTGTGGATTGGGGGGTCCCAGACAGGTTCTGGATGAGAGTACTGAGACAGAAGTCACTTTCACGTACAGCGTATACTGGGTGCCTTCCGCAACTGCCTGGGCTACAAGATGGGACAAATACTTGCATGTATTTGATCCAAAGATCCATTGGTTCTCGCTTATCAACTCGGCTGTCATAGTTGTTTTCCTGACTATTACTGTGGTCTCGATCCTCATGCGCGCTTTAAAGAAGGATATCGCCAGATACAACCGTTTGGACTCGATCAACCTGGACGACTTGTCTGGAACCTCTGCTGTTGCCGAAGATGGAGTTCAAGAAGACTCTGGCTGGAAGCTTGTCCACGGCGATGTATTCCGTGCACCAAGTTCTCCCCTAATATTGAGTGTACTCCTGGGGAATGGCGCTCAGCTCTTCGTCATGACCGGCTTCACCATCGCCTTCGCCCTCCTTGGTTTCCTATCACCCTCAAACCGTGGCTCACTCGGCACGATCATGATTCTCCTCTACACCATCCTCGGCTTTATCGGTGGCTACGTTTCAGCCCGTGTCTACAAGTCCTTCGGTGGCGAAAGATGGAAGATCAACATTGCCATGACACCAATCCTTGTCCCTGGCATCGTTTTCGCTACCTTCTTCCTGCTTAACCTGTTCCTCTGGGCCAAGCAATCCTCTGGCGCCGTACCTTTTACAACCATGCTCGTGCTCGTCGCCATCTGGTTCATCATCTCCATGCCCCTCTCATTTGCCGGATCCTGGTTCGGATTTCGACGAGCACCCATTGAGCCTCCTGTCCGAACCAACCAGATCCCCCGCCAAATTCCGCCCGGAACAGCATACATGCGCCCTATCCCGTCGATGCTGCTGGTCGGCATCTTACCATTTGGTGCCATCTTCGTGGAGCTTTACTTCATCATGTCGTCCATCTGGTTCAGCAAGGTATACTACATGTTCGGCTTCCTGTTCCTGTGCTATGGACTCATGATCATCACCTGTGCCGCTGTTACAATCCTGTTAGTCTACTTTCTGCTATGCAGCGAGAATTACCACTGGCATTGGAGGGCGTTCATGGCAGCAGGCGCGTCCGCGTTCTATGTTTTTGCAAATGCGCTGTTGTACTGGGCGACGAAGTTGAGCACTGGGATGGCTGGGACCGTCCTGTACATTGGGTATAGCGCGCTGATTTCTTTCTTGTTCTTTATTCTCACCGGTATGTTCATTCCCCCCATTTCACCTCATCTCACCTCCTTTCTGTCAGCCTCATGTCTCTTCTCTCATTTTGAGAACGAGATGTTAACGACCCATAGGCTCAATCGGCTTCTTCGCCAGCTGGGCATTCGTTCAGAAGATCTATGGATCTATCAAAATCGACTAGACGCTTTCAAGGTTCGGGATGGGGAGCTGGAATGCCGAAGCGACCATTTGAAAAATAGAAAATGCCTTGTATTATAAGATCCAAGTCTGAGGTTTCTCGGATATTTGTTTGCCTGAGAGTGCCTTTGAGATGGCGTTTTGAGCATGGTTATAGAGGCTGTATGAATGAATGTCACGGTGCGGTAGAAAATTGAGAGATGTTCTCTTGTGCGTTCTGCTATTCGGCTCGTCGACTCCGCTCAACGACGTAAGTGAATTCTTCTAGAATCTCGGGAGGCGAGTTGTAAGATCTTGCAGCACGCACATCATCCCCGAACCACACCATATGAAGATTACGGGCACCAACGGACGGAGTACCTCAAGCACCGTATACCGTAGATTGGTAGGCGTGGGTTTGGGTCTAACCGTTTCGGGAAGCCCGTTTTGGCAGAATCTTAACATATGTACCTTATGTACCGGTATTTCACCGAGACACGTGATATCAAACTGTAAATGTAAAGCCTGTGTCAATATATGTCAATATAATAGTCAGTGCACTGACTTTGTGACCTGCGGGCTCTCGGTCACAGTCAGGACAAGCAAGTGTCCCAGGTCAAGCAAGTGTCCCATTTCAATTATTTCAACTTGTATTAGAAATAACTTAGCAACGAATATTGCTATAATATTCAAAACTAGATGCATAGATCGGCGTAATCGAGATCTTTAAAAGTCTAATCAAGTATATAATCTTTTTATTAACAATTTAATAATTAATAGAATAAATAATGTTTGATTATCGATTGAATTTGATTGAAAATCAAATATTTTGTATTAAAAATTTTATATTTTTTAACATTAATCGTCTTTTGAATTGAGTTTTAATATAAAAATTTGATATTTAAAAAACTCTTAATCAAGCGGACTCGTACCATTTGTTTTTCATTATTATAACTTTTATAATTATTATTTTATTTAAGTTACAAATATAGTGGAAAAGTTGATGTTTTTGAATTTTCGCTAAATTGTCCGAGCTTTTTTCGCTGTTACAATTGTAATTTTGCGTAATAAATATTATTTTACTTATTTTAATAATGAAAAATATAAAATATGTTTTATAAGTAAAGTATAATTCACTTATCTCGATTCGTATATCTAATTTTTATTGTTGTATCTTTTTTTGTTATTTACTTATTCTTAATACAAATCGCGATTTTCGATTCTTTTCGATAAAGAATCAAAAACCTTTTTTTTTTTTTACGATTTGCAACTTAAATTACTTGATAATAAAAAGAGCTATATTGATAAAAATTGAATGCATTAATCGGCGGAATCGAGCTCTTTAAAAGTATT